ATTGCGGGCGGGGGAATCAAATCAGTAGTTTAGATGTCTGTATACTAATGTGAGAAGTACGGGGAATAAGCAGGAAGAATTCAAAATGCTAGTAAATAAACACAACTGTGACATAGTTGGCATTACAGAGACTTGGTGGGATAATACGCATGCTCCCAGCCTCTATAGTAGGGGTCGGCAACCTTTCAGAAGTGGTGTGCCGAGTCTTCATTTATTCATTCTAATTTAAGGTTTCACGTGCCAGTAATACATTTTAACATTTTTAGGTGGTCTCTTTCTATAAGTCTATAATATACAACTAAACTATTATTGTATGTAAAGTAAATACGTTTTTTTAAATGTTTAAGAAGCTTCATTTAAAATTAAATTAAAATGCAGAGCCCCCCGGACTGGTGGCCAGGACCCGGGCAGTGTGAATGCCACTGAAAATCAGCTCACGTGCCACCTTCGGCATGCGTGCCATGGGTTGCCTACCCCTGCTCTATAGTGTTCCCTGCCCACCCATTTCCTCTGGCCCTTCAAAGCTTCAGGTTAGGCCCCTACCCCGCAAGCCCCTCTCCCTAGCTGCTTTGAATTTCCCATATAAGCCAACTCAGTAAGGCCTGGCTGGCCTGATTCCAAGCCACATCACAGGGACATCTATACAAGCTCATGCTCCATGCTATTAATTTCTTCACCCTCATATCCCACCCCAGTATGTAATGGTGGGAGCTGTTGCCATCTATGGACTGTGAGGAGTCTTGGTGGGCTAGCCTGTATTCCACCTGGGTGCCACAGCCTGTCAGGAATTTAATTTGGCAGTTCCTTCACAGAGCCATGAACAGAGGCCTATTGTTGATGCAGTTTTTGGATTCCCCTTACAGTTGTTTTCCTTGTGGTGAGAGGAAGACCCTGGCACATGCATCTTGACAGTGTGCAGTCCCTTTTCTGCCTCTTCCAGTATGTCTTGTTGAGGTTCTGTCTTCACTTTTCCCCACACCTTTTTATTTATCATGTCCTATCTATGAGCCCACGAAGTTGCAGAACCTCCTTGTCAGCCTCCTTCTGGCTTTCAGCTAATAGGCCATATATCCAATCAAGAAAGAAGAGGTTGGATGGAGGGCTTATCTGAGCCCAAGACTGTGGGGGTTGATTTTGTGCACTTGTCTGTTCAAGTCTCTGGGAAGTTTCTCTGGGCAGCATCCATTAACTCTCTGTACTCTTGAGGAGCAGTGGACATTGTCCAGGGATCTCCACTTGGTCTCCCCCCCAGAAACACTGATTGTAAACCTATGAGCCTCACTTCCATTCATGTTTTTTCATTTGTCGTCCCACAGAATCAGTTGATAAGATGTATTGCTTCTGGTCCTTTCCCTCTAAAGAGAGGGAGGTCCTTTTTGGTTCACTAGATAAGTTGCCTTCAGGGATCTATGTAAGTACATAGGGACAATATAGGCCTAACCCTACGCTGAGACACCTGACCATAATGCTAGGCCTGAGATCCCACTTGCTCCAGACCTAAGCCTAGACTTTGGATTCCTACCTGCCCCAACCCTAACCCTGGGAGTACTATCTACCCCAGCCATAACCTGAGAGACTTTTTCTGCCCCAATGCTAACCCTAGGGTGGGAGGCCCTACCTGTTCCAACCCTAACCCTAGGCTTGTGGGACTGTACCTGCCCAAACCATAACTTGTGAAAGTTTATCTACTCCAACCTCTAACCCTAGAACATGGTGCCCTTCCTGCCCAAACCCTAGGCTGGGGGTGGGCCCTACCTGCCCTTCAATGTAACCCAAGCCTGAGGCACTTTTCCAGCCCAATTCTAACCCCGGCCCTCATTCTCATCTGAGACACTTTCTGGTCTCACCCCAATCCTATACTAGGGTACCTCCCTGCCTGCCCCATCTCTAACCCTGGACCAGGGGGACCCTACCTGCCCCATCCATAGCCCAGGCCAGAAGGGTGGAACACTACTTCTAACCCTGACCTTAGGATGAGGTGCCCTATCTGCCCTTCACCTAACTGTGGGCTGGGAGGACCCTACCTGCCCCAGCCCCAACCTTAGTCCCCGGAGACCATACCTGGCACTCCCTCAGCACCAACCTACATAATTTTGCAATAAACTGATGCATACTAGTTCCATTTTTAGGGTACATATGCTTCCCTTTCCTTACACTGATTGGGGTTTGCTCCTACCCAATCACCTCAACAATATTACACAGCTCACAAACAGACCTCTACCAACTAGTCTCACCTATTGCATATACCATTCAATATAGCTACAACCCAGTGACTGCAGCTGCAGTGCATGCAGATAATTCCTAGTGGATATTGCCATTGCCACGGGGCAGAGTCAAGGTTGGGTGCACGTTTACCTTAACAGTGTATTTCTTGGTTTTCAGTTTAAGTTTTGCTAAACTCAAGATTCTGGAAGGATATGAGCTGTCACTAGGAAACTAACTGCATAAACATTTATTGCCATTTGATTATATGTAGTTCAAATCTATCTGCATTTTTTCTGCCAAAAGCAGCACATTTATTCCACTTGCTTTTCGTTAAGCAAAGCTGCAGCCCATCTTCTGCCATCTAACACAAAATTACCATTGAAGGCAATGGAGTTACAAACATGTAAGATAGCAAAATTCATCCTCCTATTCAAAGCAGCAAAACTTATTTATACTAATTATTAAAAACAGCCAAATAGCCTTTAACTATTCATATCAGTATTCAATCTCAGACCAGGAGTATGCTCCAACTTTCTCCAATTCTCTGCCTCTGTACAGTAGTGAAAACAGGGCTATGTTAACAGCCTGCACTTCTCACTTTCAATTCCAGCATATAAACTCAAAATTGCCTCATCAATCTCCTTCTTAACTCACATACTGCACTCTTGCAACCTTATTTTGCTTTGAGGACTTCAGTGGACCTTCCGTAAATTAAAAACATACAGACGACATCTTAAGAATTTACAACAGGCAGCAATCAAGGACCTCAAGTTTCAGTTTTGGAAATTTAGTCTTGGAAGCAATAAAGTATTTGAATGAGAAGAGGGGTCTGAAGAAAATGTTTCACAGGTAGGATATAGATACTCAAGTTATTCAGTCAAATATTTCTGAAGAAAAATGAGTGTCTGAAATCTGTTTAAGTAATAGTGAATGAAAGCTGAACATAGTACATATTTCCTTAAAAGCTTGTCTGACAGGAAATTTAAGTCTTGAGTTATACTTCACTTGGGTATATAAAACCTCATTGAAAACTATAAAATGTAGCCAAGCAACATGTGTGCAAGATTAGTTGTAACCTGAGGAGGAAAATCCAGACAGCACACTGCTATAACTACTAATGGCTTTGATTTGTCCAAACATGTCTAAACAAAAGCATATGTAAAACTTTAAAATAGCACTTGGAAAAATGTTTTAATCAAGCTTTAAGTCTGAAGTGTTAGTTTGACCAAAATTATAGAATGCTAGAGGCGCCATGCTTCAGGTGAGATTTAGGTTCCGCTGCACATCTCATTTGTCCCCAGAAGTTAAGTGCTTGCATTATTCTGGCCAACTGCTCCATTTGCTTATACTGTCATTGTAACTCAACTAATATCTAACTCACTACACTTTAATTTGCTTTGTGGTATTTTATATCAGAATGGTGATATATGAAACAATATTGTAAGTTCTATTAGAAAATATTGATTTTTCAGACTTTTTCCTAATAAAATGTTTAAGGGAAAACTGAGTACTACACAATTTCAGTGTGAAACTCAGAGCTAACATTTCTGATCTTTCTTTAGAGCTCAGGACTGATATAGTCTTTACACATACTTGTACATGTTTTCTACAGTATCTTTGAAAGAGCGAAGAAATTCAGTCAAAGATAGCTTGCCAGCCTATTTACCTTCTTTTTTATAATTCCACATAATGAAAATAAACGAAAATTCCACACAGGGATTAAGAAGGATTAAATAGGTAAGTGAGATTTGACGTTACAATTATTAAACACTTGTTCATATAATCCATGAATGTATCACTTCTAAATAAAATAAATTCAGATACAATAGAGTTTTTTTTTTTAAATCCAATTTGTAAACATCCCTTTTAAACAACAAAAAATTGATACAGTTCAAAGGACTTACTGGCTTTCTCTTGTTTAATATATTCTCCCACCGTTCGTTTATCAAATCACAAAAGTAGTATCTTACATTATTTAATGTTTGTACAGAGCACTTGTATGAATTTTTACTTTTGTAATAAGCTTTAAATACAATGTATTTTCAGTTAACATAGCCCTAAAAGTATCTTAACTGGCTAGATATACACAGCATTAGATTTTCAAAGCAGTTGTAAAAAACACAAAGCAAACAAAATATATGTACAGTATATCAAAATCAGTCAAATATTTTGACCTGATGATTTCTATAACAAGTAGCAGTAATTTTAAATTGCATAAAAAGCAAAAACAGTGCCAACATGCCTCCAGGCTGTGAGCTATGGTAAAATATCAAGCACACATTTAAAGTAGAGAAGCAAAATAAAAAAGGCCAAAAATCAGAACCAACCCTGACTTGCAACCGAATATGGGTAATCTGCTTTTCCACTTCTATAATGCAAAGGGCCCTAACAATGAAGAAAATAATTCCTATGCTACATTAAAGTGAAACATTTTTCAAAAGTTTGTCGTTGCATTTTTAACATTTCATTTGTCATAGAAAGTAAAGATGAACTTTCAATTCTATTAAACGCACAAATTTGTAAATCAGAGAAACTCCTTTAAGAACAACACTTTTCAAACCTTGCATAGTGACAGCTGGCATTGATGTTGCTACCATAGCTTCAGCAGAAAATACAAAAAAGGAAAATATTTACTTCAAGAGTGATGCACAAACACACAACTTGTTTTCTGCACAAAATTCAACAGTTTGATCATATTAATAAGAGGGAAAACATTTTTAAAAAAGGGGAAAGATAGTGTTCACTAGCTTGGAAAAAAAAAAAAAAAAAAAAAAAAAAAAAAATAATATAAAATAAAAAAAAAAAAAAAAAAAAGTACAAAACCACAACATTCCATAGTAAAATGCAAAGAATAAACATTTCATTGTAACACCACCTACTTGCATCACTAAATAAGCCCCATACATGCAACGAATTAGAACTATAGTAGAAGACTGTCAAATGAAAGGTTTACTTTTTATATAAACAAAGTGTAAAAATAGTAATAGTTGCATTCTTCAGATTTAATGCTAGGTGAGGATTTTTTGTCACATTTGCTAGCAATTTCAACATGAATCTGACAAACAAGAATATGTTGATTTAGGAACCATGATAAAGATACATTGTGCCTAAGACAGTATTATCGTATTTTTGTTCAACTTTAACAGAATTGGAATGCTCAACAACACTGTTAAGTTCAGGGATGCTTTCAGCAGTATCCCCAAAACCATGATAATGCCCATAGTGCAAAGTATCTCCAAGATCTTCAACCCATGAGGGCCTGTTAGACACAAAGCTACTTGGGCTTCCATTCAGATGCAGTGAACCACACATATCGGCAGAAGTATTCATGGCTTTTTCTGGTTCTTCAGTGCCATTACTGGTGTGAATTCTGTGCCTACTGGCAGAAGCGACACCAGGAGTTATTCCATTAGGTATTAATGTTAAACATTCTTCATGCCTGGCATCCATTCCATTGAACTGTGTTATGGCGGTGAAGTCCAAATGTCCATTGATGGTACATCCATTTGTCAATGCATTCAAAACGGAGCTACTGCTATTCATATCTGCATTAAGAAATACATCTGTCACCAAAAATTGAGAATCAATGGAAATACATAAAAATGTCTCCACTGCACTCCACTTTGTTTTTCAAAACCTATGTATGGAAACTTGGGGGGGGGGGGGCACCACACACTTGAGTGCAAACCTAATTTTTATATTCCATGTCAACATAGGTGGTTTAAAAGTAATGTAATATCTGACTTTGATCAGTAAATCTGAAAGCTAATTTCAATTTCAAAAACATAACTGCTAACTAAATTAGAAATGTAAATATATATAGCTATGCTAATCTTTCTAAGACAGTGTGAATTTTAGAAAAATAAGAAATTAAGTGACAAGCGTAGAGTAACAAAGCAGACAACATTCCAAATAGTATTTTGAGAAACAGGACAAAGGCTTTTGAAGTTAAGATACCTTTTTATACAAATTTAAAATCCACCTGGAACTAAAGAATCTCTGTGTAAGAACTGAAATTTGAGTGGACTACAGTTTTTAGCAGTGGTGATTAATTTAAGTTTCTTGCCTCCTCTTTAGTGACAGATCTCAGGTAACAGTACACATTGAAGCAGGCAATATGAACAAGCTTATGTCAATGGGGAAGCTAATATAAAATGTTTCCTAAGGTTGTATATCGAACAATTAATTTCAGTATAACTGGTAGTTTACTTGAGAATATATTAAGCAGGAAAAATATGTTTTTTCTTAATGATAGATTTGTAACATCTGTACAATGCACATGCAAAATGCCATACAACAGCAAAATGCACAGAAATACTAAAAACATGCATGCAAAAAACAGACTGGTTTAAGCAATTTCTCGTTTGAATTTTAGTAATTAGTACACTAATGACCTTTTCGGTAAAACTAAATTTCAGTCAAGTTTCAAATATAGGTTTTTGCAGTTGTACTCAAAGTACTAGCACAAAAAATAGATTACTGGGCGTGCCCTAAAATTACCTATTGGGGTGTATCTGCGTGTGTGTGTCTCTAACGATAAGCAGGGCAAACCTAGAGACTTTAGCTCTGTATTTTGATATTTGAGCATTTTACATTTTCTGTGTCTCTCTGAACATATACACATACATATTAACGCAGAAATCTTTGTGTAGAAAAGTATCATTTGTTTTATTTCTAGCTCAGGACAGTTAAGTATTCTTACTAAATTGCCAGATTTTAAAACATGGGGTCCTTGTTTGAAGGAAAGGTAATGATTACCACTGTTTTACACCAAAGTAGTGAAAAGTTGTGGTTCTCCACAACTGATATACATAATATGACATTGGTATTTCACATATAGTAACGCACAATGCCAAGAAAGTGAATGAATTGAGAGTTATCTGTGACACTAAGTGCAGCAACTGAAGTTTCCTACTTTATCCCTAAACTGCTTAAAATAATCACATTAACTAAACTTATTGACCTCCAACAGGATTCTGTGGCTAAGTTAAAAGGGAAAAATAAAAAAAAATAAAAGTCAACACATTATGCCTACTAATATTGTGACAAAGACGCACATAATAAACACATTATCAAATTTTTAAACTGGAAAAAGTGCAGAGTTCTGTTTTAAAATTGGTAATTTAGGCTAGCTTTGCCAAGTGGATGACGTTAACAATGGCATTTCTGTTAGTGAATATTCAAAAGCAGATAGTGAATAGTTCTAGTGATAATTATAGCATTTTTATATTTGTTGAAAATAAGGACCCATAACAATACACAATATTTATGAAAGACAAAGTCAACTACTTTTCAATAAATATAAACATTTGGCAACTATCACTGGAGCTTTTCATCTACTTTTGGTGAATCCGACCAATGGTATCAAGCAGAAACATTTTATTATAGTATGACTTACAACATGAATATTCATTTCAAAATTTAATAATACACTAAAATAGTAACTCCTCCCTTTACCTACCAAGTGGATGGACAAGCTGACCCAAGACAATTTTTCTTAAGACAGCGTAACTCTATATACGCTCTCAGGTTATTAAAAAGCATCTTGATCAAGCGGCCCCTGAAAAAATTAAAGTACTAATATGCACTACTACTAACAATATGGCTGTTTTCATGAAGACTGATACAAAATCCAAACAGTTTCCAAGATTGTTCCAAATGGCAACTCATTGAAAGTTCCATGGCATCAAGTCTTTTATCCACATAAAACAAAAGCAATAGCTGTTCACAACATGATTTCTACAGTCATATTGCTGTGTTTGAACAAATATTGAACACACAGTCGTTAAGTTTGGACTATTATTTTTAGCATATGTTGAGCTGGTTTGAAACTAGCTAAGAGGTACCACACATTGTTTCAAGAACTATATAAACCATTAGGATATACTTTTCCTTGTACAATATTGGCAATTAAGTCTATTTGGTACCAATTAAACCAATCATTTAAAATACCTCTGAATTTTCCTTTAAGCTGCAAACATAGTAACTAAAAACAAGGCACATGAAATGTAAGCCTTAAATTAAAGTGAAACAGCCATAGTGAACTTCTATTTAGATTAGATCTATCGATAAGGTCTCCCTTATACCCTTGCAGTGTGTTCTATGAAACAGCTAATCTTCAATATCTACTTAAAAACCCAAATATAATAGCTGTTACAGTAATACAATAGTTTTCAAGACTCTGGACAACAGTGTGCAAAAAATAAGATGTTTTATATTTAACTTAGAAATAAAATGCATATTGATTCTTGCAACGACAGGGAGTTTGCATTGCAGAAACTGTGTAAATTTCAATCTCTTTTGGTCCAACAGAACCACTCCCCTGTTGTTTGGTGTCTTCAACCATTTGTATGTTGTTGTAGTTAACAGGAAACTGTCCACTCCCACCTGATACAACAGCAAGCTCTTTATCAATGTGCATATTGTCAGCATCATCCTCATTTCCTCCATTCATCATTGGTATTAAGCCATCAAAGCTATGAGCTGGTAGAAAAAGAAGGTTAGATTTAGTTTCCAGAGCACATTTGAAAACGCATAGCCAAGCCATTAAACTGAAGTGTAAATATTCTCATTATTAAAATGAGAAAAAAACTGCTATATGGAAAGATTAATTGTATGCGCATAAAATAAGAAATCTGAGGGGTGCATGAAGGGAACTCTGGATTAGAAGTGACTGACTGTGGGAGAATTAAGGATTTGGCAGGGGACAGGGGATGGCAGCCCTGGGGATCCTTTCCAGTTTATATCTTGCTTTTAAAGCTCATGCTTCAGGGCTTCAGCTGGTTACACACAGGGGTCAAGAAAGGATTCTCACCCCCAATGTATCCAGGGGGGTGGGGGTTAGTCACCCTCCTTTGAAGCATCAAAGATGGCCACAGATGAACATCAGATCCATATGTGGGTTTGGCAAGAAATATCCCCCCAGGTCAGATTGGCAGTGAAACTTCAGGTTTTGCTGTTTTTGCCTTCTTCTGTAGCATGGAGCGCAGGTCACTTGCCAGGATTATCTCACTTTATCAATCCCTGCCATTGCAGGGACCTCAGGCATTGATGTAAACTCAGTTCCTCCTATTTTCTGTCAGTGGCAACATAGTAGTTTAGTCTCCTGTGTGCTGCAATACTTTAGTTGTTGGTTTTAGTGTGTGTTGGTGCTGTTTGTTGCCCATTGTATACAGAAGACCAGACTAGATGATCTGGTCATTCCTTCTAGCCTTAAACTCGGACTACGACTCAACACAAACTAGATGCTCCATGACATTCAAGTACATTAGATTGATTTTTCTGGTGAAGTGAAGTGAAATAGTTGACATTTCAATTACCCATCATTAGGCTTCAGTTAGCACAATGATATGAGAGAGAGCAATTCATACTTCCCAGAGAACATTTCTAGCTTGGGATCAGACACCAGTATATTTGATGCAGATTCTGAATGCTATCTTTGGAACCATAAAGACTATAGACAATTAGTCTAGGACAGTGTTTTCCAAACTTGGGACGCCGCTTGTGTAGGGAAAGCCCCTGGAAGCAGCGGCCATTACGTCCCTCGGCCCGCGCTGCTTCCAGCAGCTCCCATTGGCCTGAAGCAGCGAACCACGGCCAGTGGGAGCCGCGATCGGCCGAACCTGTGGACGTGGCCGGTAAACAAACCGGCCCGGCCCGCCAGGGGCTTTTCCTACACAAGCGGCATCCCAAGTTTGGGAAACACTGGTCTAGGACATGAAGCCTACCTGCACCGGAGAGTATTGGTGGCCTTCCCTCACCAATGCTCTCGTTTCCCTCTGCCTCCAGCACACCTAAATGTAACTGGGCTCCAAAAAATAGCAGAGGGAGAAAGAGAGCGTGACCCAGTGTGGCGCTCTAGAGGCTATACAGTCACAGAACAGGAGTTATGTAAGATAAGCAATGCCCTTTTTTCCTTCCTGGCTTTGCCTCCATAGAGCTTTGCTAATTGTCCAGTGGAAGAAGCACTATGCTCCCCAAACTGCCTCTGTTCTGGCTACATTGTACAGAGAAAAGACAGCTACCTTTTCCGTAACTGGTGTTCTTTGAGATGTGTTGCTCATGTCCATTCCATATTAGGCGTGTGTTCTCGCCACATGCACCAGTGCCCTCAGCAGTATCCGTAGAGGACTGGCACCCACATGGCACAGTGTAAGAGGCGCTGCTGGCTCCCCCAACCCTCAGTTCCTTCTTGCCAGAAACTCCGACAGTGGGGAAGAAGGGCGGGTTGTGGAATGGACATGAGCATCACATCTCAAAGAACACCAGTTACGGAAAAGATAACTGTCTTTTCTTCTTCAAGTGCTTGCTCATGTTCATTCCATATTAGGTGACTCCAAAGCAATACCTCTGGAGGCGGGTAGGAGTTCACGGACATGTAAATTGCAACACAGCTCTGTCAAACCCAGCGTTGTCTCTGGCCTGCTGAGCGATGGCATAATGAGAAGTAAACGTGTGAACAGAGGACCATGTTGCAGCTCTACAGATATCCTGGATAGGGATGTGCGCCAGGAAGGCCGCTGAAGATGCCTGCGCTGTAATCGAGTGGGCTCTGACAATCGGTGGTGGCGGAATCCCAGCCAGGTCGTAACAGGTCCTTATGCACGAGGTAATCCAATTGGAAATCCTCTGCGAGGACACCGGGTGACCCTTCATCCTATCCACTGTAGTGATGAAGAGTTGAGTTGATTTTCGGAAAGGCCTGGTACATTCTAAGTAGAAACCCAAGGCCTTCCGGACGTCCAGGGAGTGAAGATGGCTCTCCTCACTGGTCTTGTGCAGTTTGGGACAGAACACTGGGAGAAAGATGTCCTGGTTCATATGGAAGGTGGAGACCACCTTTGGCAGGAAGGCAGGGTGGGGCCACAACTGAACCTTATCTTTGTAGAAGACTGTGTATGGAGGTCCTGAGGTCAGGCTTTAATTTCAGAGACCCATCTTGCCGACGTCACCGCCACCAGGAACGCGACCTTCCATGACACTGGGAAAGGGAGCAGGAACCCAGTGGCTTAAGGAGCGGGCCGGTGATCCTAGAGGACCAAGTTAAGATCCCACTGCAGGACAGGAGTCCATACCTGCGGTAAGAGTCTCTCGAGGCCTCTCAAGAATCTGACCGTCATGTCATGAGAAAACACTGTCTGGCCCTGGATCGGTGGGTGAAAAGCGGAGATGGCCGTGAGATCTCTTATGGAAGAGTGTGCCAGGTCCTGGTTCTTCAAATGAAGCAGGTAGTCTAAGATAGACTGTATGGAAGAGTGCGAGGGAGCGATGCCACTCTCGGACACCCAGCAGGAAAACCTCATCCACTTGGCCAGGTAAGTCAGTCTGGTTGAGGGTTTCCTGCTTTCCAGGAGGACCCATTGGACCTCACCCTTGTAAAGGTTTCATCTGCAGACATGCAAATAGGGTGAGAAGTCTGCAGACTGTCACTGAGCCCAACTTCCTCAGAAAACTGCCTTAGTAAGTTCTGTCGACTTGCCTTGAGGTAGACAAAGCTAAATCCCTTGTGAAATTTAGGACAGACATTATGAAAGTCAAAATCTTAACTGGAATAAGGTCTGATTTTTTTCTTCACTCAGACCAAGAGAGTCTTGAAGATGGAACACTTCTTTAGGGCATAACGTAACCCATGTTAAGATGAAATTCCTATAAGCCAATCATCTAGGTATGGATAAGTCTGTAAGCCTTGATGATGCACATGAGCTGTGATCACAGCCAAGGACTTGGTGAACACCTTAGGAGATGCTACTCTCCCAAAGGATAGTGCCATCTATTGGTAATGATCATGGTACATCACGAAGTTGTGATACTACTTGTGCTAATCAAGTTGTGCAAGTAAGCAAGTAAACAAAGGACCCAAACCAATGCAGAACCAAAAAGGGGTTATGTTCCCCAGGAGAAACCATGTGGAATCTGATTTTCCCTTGGGCATTTGTTCAGTTTGGGGAGGTCTATAATAGTATGCAGGTCACACTTCCTTTTATGAAAGGAATAATACTGGGAATAAAATCCCTTTCTCCTGTAAGGGTCTGACATTTTCTTTTCTCAAATTTTACTAAAGCCAAAACCTTGTCCTGTAAGTTTCTTATGAGAGGGATCCTTGAAGAGAAAAGAGAGAGAGAGCAAGAGAGAGCGAGAGCGAGTGTGTGACAGACAGAGCCTGGAACTGGAAGTCAGACCCCCGTTTGATAATTTCCCGGCTCCAACAGCCCAAGAAAATGGCTTACTATGGTCAAAAGAAAAAACAAAAAACACAACCCTAAGGACAAACTGTCTCCAAAAGGGAGGCACATAGAAGGATCTGTTTCCTTAAAGCCTGGGACAGGGTCCTCTCTCTCATCTTCAAATTGCTGCTTGGCAACAATGCTGCCTGAAGCAGAAGTGAAGTTCCTTCATCTATCTCCCCTGAAAGGCATAAGGCTACTTTCTAGTTTGGATTTCTATGCAGAACTGACCCATAAATAGATGGCTGAGGCCTGAAGCAGTTGATTTAGTCACTTTCAGCTTCTCCAGGATCTCATTTGTTTTTGGATTAAGGAGGTCCATACAACCACAACAGAGATCCAAAATCTGTGTCTAAGTCTCAGAGGAAATGCTTAATTCCTAAATCATACATGTCTTCCTAAAGACACTATTGAAGTTAAAGATCTCTCAGCAGCGTCTGAGACAACGGGGATCTTTGCCAGCCTGTGCCAGAATCTGGCTTTCCTAAGGAAATGGGAACTGAGCAAGGAGCAGAAGTCAGTCTTCTCAGTTCCAACCCTTCACATCACCAACCCATAAAACTTTAGCACCGGCCTTCTCTAGAACTAGTGCATTAAGGATGCACTATTATCACAGATCCACAAAGTCCAGTGCTCTAGAACAGCTCTGGAATAGTCCCTGGGAGGACCCCTTCATCTGCCAATTGACTCACATTGTGCAAATCCTTGGGCTTCCTGTTCACTAACCACATTGTCAGCCTATGAGAACACATCTCAATCTTGCTCCAACCCAATCAGGTTATACAAATCCTCCAGCATGGTGACCCCTGCAGTCTTACCCCATCTGTCAAAACACTCTCCCATCAGGGTGGTGGCTTCCAAGTAAGTCACATCCTAAGTCTTTTGCACACTCTGAAACCTTTTCCTAAATGCCTCAGGAGTCAATTCAAACCTGAGCAGCAAAGCTTTTTTGAATAGTTCATAGTCCCCAATATCAACTCCATCCATCTGGCTGTAAGCCTGTATGGGTTTGGGACCGAGTAAGGGGGTGAGACAACAAAGCCAGTCCACAGGGTTAACCTGGTTCAAATCACAAGCCTTTTCAAAGGCAGTGGTAGGCATCTACATCCCCACCTCCTTAAACTGGGGCAGCAATTTGGTATCTAGGTTCCTTGCGGACTTGGCATCCCATGGCCTCTCCTCACATATTCCTCTGTGGGTCCTCTTGCTCCTCTGCTTCTTCATATCCCATTCATGCTTTCATTGCTTCTTGCAGTCTTCCAGCAACTTCGCTCTCAGCTCCAACTCCCATTGCTTCAAATCTGTTCATGGGGAGCAAGGTCATGAAAGTCCCTTGCTGGATGGGGAACTGGGTCTTGTGGACACCCTGCTGCTGCCCTGGCTGCTCTCTCTGGTGCTGTTTCTGGACTCTGTTGGGGACACATTTGGGGCTGGAACTTGCCTCTTAAACGGATCATTCTTCTCCAGCCATGCAATCAGCTGCATCTTCTTGATCTTCCCAATGCCTAATCCTCTCCATGCACAGGTTTGCAATATTCTTTTTAGGGAGATGGTTATACACCATTTTCTGGCTATTTCCCTTGACTACCCTTGTTTTACTGATGCTAGACACGTACTACAACATACTTCTGGTGCATTCAGCAACCAACCATCCTCTTGGTGCATTCAGAAGCCATCCCCTGCTACCACCTGTCATGGATCCACAGATCCAGTGCTCTGAAACAGTCCTGGGAGGACACCCCTCAGGGTGCCAGACCTCCTTAGGATCTCACTTTTTCACTAGGGTAAGACACTTGGCTTCCCTGCGTCCTCAGAGCCTCCAGCACCCCTACTTCACACCATGAGCTCTCTTCAGTGAGTCCACCTGAGTTGTACACCCGAGAGAGATTTGTACACCCAAAGGGGGCAATGCACCCCCACCTTCTGCATCTGTAGTGGCTCTTGGCAGGCATTGCAAGAACAGCAGGGTTTATTAGATGTCTGGAACATAGCATAGAAAGTCCTTGGTTAGCATAAAGAAAAAAAAGTTAGAGCATGCTCCACTCTGGTTACCCAGAGCCCAGCAAAGCAGTGTCCACCCCTGGCTCCCGCTCTCTCTCCATCCTCTTTGTTCAAGTTCCCAAGCCAGTTCTATCAGGCCCCTCCTCAGTCATTTGTTGTCCAGCTGGTCAAATACGGCTGGCGTCCTGCAGAGGCGGTGGACCATTCATGGTCATTAGCTGCTAGGTACCAAAAGTCTTGGTGATTGGATCTGCCATTGTCTTCACAGACCCTCCACTGATCTGGGCCCCAAACTCGACAGAGCTAGGCGCTATTCACACCATTCACATGCCTGCCCAAGGGTAAACAGCCTTTTCCCAACGACCTAGTTATCCATGCAGCATATAGGGGAAACTGAAGTGCACACAGTATTATAAAAAATATTAGCGAAAATTCCTCACTTCATCACAACTACCTTGGCAACAATGGCAGGGCAATCAAAAGCTAGCAACCCCAATAAGGAATAATCACAGCTGGGCACAGAGGATGGTGTAGAAGCTTCAGAAAGCCCTCTTCTTTGACACCTTTAGAGGCATTTCTTGGAAATCATGCTGGATGTATCAGATGGATGCCTTAGTGCAGGAGACTAAACCAAATGGCCCAGATACAAGGAAGTTTTCTCCTTGAGGACAATTAAGATCTGGGAAGGCCAACTGCACCAAGGTCTGGCTGAACCTCTTAGAGCCTCACCTTAGCGCAGAGCAATTTTTGAAGCCATAGAACCCAGAGAAGTGCTACCCCTAGTTTCCCACCAAAATCTCAGATACTGCAGCCTCTGAAACTTCTTGAAGGGTTCCTACAAGGCTATCTTCTGCAAAGACTGACTTCTCTGTCAGAGTCTAGGAAAATGTGGTGCAGAAGTAGGTTTCACAGACATACCACCTCATGCCAAAAAGATTTTTAGCAAAGGCTTTTCCAACTTCCGGGCTGAAGGAAGTGATTTTGGAATACCACTTGCTGGTCTCGCTGGTCTTTTGGGGCCCTTTTAAAGAAGAGCCAGCAGATGTTCCAGGATTTTTGCAAAACGATCTTCTTTCAAGTACGTAAAGACATTGCTCATGCCCAGGTCAGTCATTTGAAAGGGAAAGAATCTCATCTTGTGAATCTCTGCTTTTGTAATACTCCAAAAGGAATCTTGTTGGATCACTAATATCTGTGACTTCTGAAAACAAACAAAACCTTGTCTCATCATCATTGGCAATCCCTCTATTCAAGGATGATCTCTAACATGGATTTACATATGGGTCCTGAGATGACTTATGAGTCTGATCCTGGAACCACAGATCTCCCCACAGTAGGTATAGACATCTCCTGGTGGGTCAGCTGCCTGCTGAGAAAGTTCTTTTTCCTTCCTTCTCTCTCTCTTTACAGCATCGAGGGCAAGGCGCTGCTCCTCGAAGTGGACCACTGCCTGATGGAGGATGCGCTGCCATTGGAGTCGGTTGGTGGCTTGCTCCTTCCAGCTTATGATGTCCACATCAGTTTTCTTCAGATACACTTTCAGGGTGTCCTTGTAGCGTTTTCTCTGACCACCACGGGATCTCTGACCACAAGTGACTGGAAAGTAGAGGACTTGTTTTGGGACACAATGTCCAGCTCAGAAAGCATGAGGATCATTGCTTCAATGCTGGGGACATTGGCTTCAGTGATGATACTGGCGTTAGTGCAGCGATCCTCCCACTTGATGCGAAGGATCTTTCGGATGCATTGTTGGTGGTACCTCTCCAGACTCTTGAGGTGCTGTTGATAGGTCACCCAGATTTCGCAACCATAAAAGGAGTGTAGGAATAACAATTGTCTTATAGACCTTGGTATCCTGCCGTAGGTCACCGTCTGTGAAAACACGTTGGAGCAATTTCCCAAAGGAAGCACTTGCAAACTGGATCCTGTGCTGGATCTTACTGTCGATTTTTGCATTTTGAGAAGGTTGACTACCGAGGTAGCAGAAGTGCTCAACTGTCTCCAAAGTTTGTCCCTCGATGATGATTTGTGGTGGATTGTGTGCAAGGCCTGAAGCAGGCTGATGGAGCATTTTAGTCTTCTCAATATTGAGTGAGAGTCCTAAGCTTCAATAAGCTTGTGCAAAAAAATCCAATGTGGACTGAAGGTCATTCTCAGTGTGCGCGAGGATGGCACAGTCATCAGCCTACTGAAGATCAGTAATGGACGCCCTGAGGACTTTAGACTTCACGCGGAGACTTCGAAGATTAAAAAGTCGCCCATCCATTCTGTATTGAATGTCAACTCTATTGGGGAGGTGGCCTTTAAAGAGGACCAAAATGACTGCTAAATAGATGGAAAACACAGTTCAGGCAATAACACATCCCTATTTAACCCCAATTTTGATGACGAAAGCGTGCATCTCCAGGCCATTACAGAGAATGGTGGCAGTCATGGAGAAGCCTTAGGACCTTAATAAATTTTTGGAGTGCAGCCAAATCTGGCCAGGACCTTCCACAGGGTTTTGCCTGTGGAAAACCTTGTCTAACAAACTATTTATACAGGATTTTTTGGGAAGTTTTTAACTACTGCATAATGCTGAAGGGAAGGAAAAATGTCCCCAACTACAGCATATGGAAGACCGAAGAACAGTGGGATTGTTGGTGAGGGCAGCTATTTATATTCTGGGTCCTTTAAGAAGGCCATATAGCTAAGCACACAACTCCTATTAAGAAGGCAGTCAACATTACATATATTATATTAAGCAAGAACTAGGCAATGGCAAACAGTTGAAGAACAAACACATGATGGTTATGAATTGGACATGGCACTGGTGAGGCCTTAGCTGGAGTACTAAGCAGGACTGGACAATTACCTCCCGTGTTGTAAGACAAGCGAGGCAGATGTCCTGCTCTACTAGCACTGGTGAGGCTACAGCTGGAGTACTATGTCCAATTCTAGATGTCACACTTTAGGAAAAAGATGTAGACAAACTGGAAACTGCCCAGATGAGAGCAACAAAATGATAAGAAGGTTTAGAAAACTTGATCCATGAGTAAAGGTTAAAATACTGAGCATGTTTAGTTTTGAGAAAAGAAGATGGAGAAGGGAGAAGGAACCTGAGAATAGTGTTCAAATATGTTAAGGGTTGTTATAAAGAAGATGGTGATCAATTGTTCTCCATGTCCACTGGGATAGGATAAGTAATAATGGGCGTAATCTGCTCCAAGGGAAATATAGGTTAGATATTGGGGGGGGGGGGGGGGGGACAGATTTTTTTTTCGAGAGGGGAGGAGGCATTGGAATGGACTTCCAAGGGAGGTTGTGGAACCCACATCATTAGAGGTTTTTAAGAACAGGTTAGACAAACATCAGTCAGGGATGGTCCACATTTACTTAGTCCTGCATCAGCACAGGGGTCTGGATCTGATAACTTCTCCAAGTCCCTTCTAGCCCTATATTTCTGTGATTATATGATCTTTATGACAGAAAGTAGCCAAAAGATGCTCCACAATCCTTTTATGAATCAACATCTGAGTCAGAAGAGAGTGCACACATTCCCTCCAAGTTACTTCCTGTCCATATAGCTCTAGGACTTGCAGAAGTGAGGCATGTACTCGCTAAGAGTGGGAACCTACAAAGATAATTCTTTAAGGAGGCCACCAGTCTTGTTTTCATAATTATTTTATTCATATTTGATTCATGTATCCCTTTTTAGGGATGTCAAAAATAAACTTTATAGCCCGGAGTACCTTCTCTTACTCTCACAGTCAACAGTGATATTGCCCCTCCCATTTTTAGCTCTGAAATCTCACCTTCAGTCTTAGCTTTCTTTACTCCAGCAGAATCCACATCTTCAAAGGATCTCTTTCGACTTGTCCCACCATTGACTGGATTGGGACCTCCATTTAATGTGCCATTGCTAAAGAAACGGTTCAGGTGACAGTTCTGGAGATTCAAGAGAAACTGGGCACACTCTTGGAAGCCCTGGGTATGTGCAAGATCTGCTGCTGTCAGTCCACTGGCATTTCTCAAGCTGCACAATACAAAGAAACTGAATTACACTCATTCATCAACCCACCTTGACTGCTGCTGCTGCTCTTACTGACTAACTATTTGCAAGTGATGAGAGAGAAAGAACATAAACTTAGCAAATTTCCATTAAGGAATTATTTATCAATCTTAGTTTTAAAACTAACTTAGCCTTTGCACATATCTGGCTTCTAAGCAAAATTTGGGAGACAACATACTTTTCAATAAAATCAATATACTATGTGCCTTTAAAAAAGTATCTTCCTATTTAAACATCTCAAAATGCTTAATTTCTAAATTACAGTCTGAAGCATCTGACCTTTACACAGACTTCAGACTCCTAAATCTAAATCTTGAAATCTATCACCTTCCGCAGCTTATTTTGACAATCTATTTCTTTATCTTGAGTAAAAACCACCCTCAAAACAAACTTAACATTACTTAGCAATTGTCCATGGCATTCTGGTATCTAAGACAACAATAATTAACATCACTCATCTTCCTAACAATAAAATATAAAAGCTATGCTTAATTATGCTTTCCTTATGATTTGTTTTTTGCTCTTGTTTCTTATTTCAAAGTGTGTGACATTATAAATGCTGGGGACTTGTTCTGTTATTTCGCTCAATATTGGTCCAAGATGGAACACTGGCATTGAATTTTCTAATTTAGAGAGATTATGAATTAAATGAAGCCAGATAGGACACCAACAGTTACAGACGAAAGTTTCAATTTGAAAGAGTTCTCCCTTTGCCCTTCCCCACTGATAAGAATTTACATGAATGGCCTCTGACAACAGTAAGCCTATCTTTAGAAATATGAACATTGAAGGGTAATAAGAAAATGTAACAAAAAAGTGTAGACAAAGGGGGTTGGCAGCAGCAGAATTAGAGGGAGGAATAGAGAATGCTGATGAATCTTTCCTAACTAGATACACCATGAAACAAAACTTCCCAGCCAGAAAACTGGATCTTTACTTCTTAGATTTTGTAGTTTAGGCAAGAAGCTTATTACTTTAAATTCCTGAAAATAAGGAGATGGACCAACAGAGGGATAATTTAGGAGATTAACATACCCAATCCATTGAACTGGCTCCTTTGTTGAAATTCCCCTGAAGTATAATAAATTGATCTTACCAAATACATGAAAACAAAGGAACTGAGCAAGTTATAGACAGGATCTAAATTATACCAATGCGACATAGGTAGAATAATATTCTTTTCAATTTAGTCAGAACTACTATTTCATTATTAACAAGCATGATGTACGAATAATTCAGAAAGGCCTGTGAAGGACAGCTGACTAGGTCCAGCATGAAACCCTAAACCTTGACACAGACTGGACTATGGAATTTGAAAGGCTATGGACTAGGGTTGTTTCCTAGAAGATTGTAGTTTGCTTGCCACACTGATCAGAAAGGAGGTAAAAATCTTTACAAGCAGAACTACCACTATACCAAGACCAATTTCTTAACAGAAGGATATAGCTAAGCTTAAATATATATATATGGCATACAATTTGGTTCACTTCCTTTGGTCTCCACAACCAGAAACACCACTGACTTAGGGAAATTAAGAAGGTCTCCTTCTCTACCAGAATACTCAAGCCATCCCCTATGGGCCTTGCTTGTGCTAGCTTACCTGTCAGCACGGATATTATTTAACAGGTGCTACAGAAAACCCAAGATTAGAGACTTCAAACAATGCAAGTTTCAGGAACATATCCTTTGTTGAACAAAAAGTTAATAGTTCCCTCCGATCAGCTCAGGATCAAGTGAAACCCATAACCACTTAAGTCAGTGTCTCCTAAAGAGTGAGTCATATACCCTCGCCTCACTGGAAAAGGGGCATGTATGCAAAGGACTAGATGAATGACAGACTGGTAAATTTCCTCCTGAGTCTCAGCTTTTATTTAAAAAAGGCTCTAGCTGTTATGGTTGTGAAGAAAACCTTTTAACATGAAGCAAATGCAACTGATGCAAAGACACCTGCATGGGTTTGCAGACACCCTCAAGCAACAGCTCTGAGATGTGAATTGCTCCATTCATTTCAATGAACTCAGATACCAATGATAAATAACAATGTTGACATTTAAAAATATTATTAAACTACTTCACTGCTCTAAGCAGTTAAGAAAGGAGGGTAAAATGGTAAGAAGAGCTACACCAGCATTTCCCAAAGTGGCAGATGGGGAAGAAAGACTATCCAGGTGGAAGATGTATAAATTAAGATGCTTAGGCCTTTAACACCACATAGCAAGGTTGCAGAAGGGCACACCTACTTTCATTTTTCCTGAAAGAGGTTTTAAGTTACTAATTCCCAAACTATTTAAATTAATGGGGGAGAAAAGAAAGCGAAGACAGAACTAGTCAGAATTTGTTTGTAAAAGAATGGTTTCTCCCTAACTTGAAGGTCCAGGCACTTTGCCTTCTATGAAAGAGCTATCAGACTACTACTAGTAGTATTGCAGTAGCACCTAGGGGCCTTGATGTGCTAGGTACTATTAAAAAAAACACCCAACAAAAACACGGTAGCTGCACCAAAACTGCTCATAAATACATCTTGCAAAAAAAGGATGAAAATTTCAAGTCAGATCTTAACTAAATAAAGTAAATGGGAATTCCCTACTTCAGGAGGCTAGTAATGGGAAGAAAGAAGAGGACACAAACAGGAACTGACTGAGGGGGTTCCAAGAATCCAAGAGACCATCAAAGAATAAAAAAGTCTAGTAAAAAATAAACCTAAACAGGGCCCAAGTTTGGGTATCTTTTCTTACACATATCTAGAAGGGAAGTTTGTTGACAAGAGCACAAAGTGACAAAGAGGCCACAGCACTGTGAAATACTAATGGAAGCTAACTGATAGAAAGACTGAAAATGCTCAATTAGCAATCTGCATGGAACAGACAGGAAAGAATCATAGGGATTATTATAGTTATACGATTTGGATAGAGGTCACACACCTTACAGATTCAAAATTAACCTTCATAAGCAAGCAAGTGGATTTTCCAAGTAATGTCATGGAAAAGACTGGTGAAAGCTGCTGCCATCCACCACTGAAAGCAATCTGAGTACACAATGAATTGCAATATTCTCACAGAATCTTCTAAAGGCCCTGAGTCAGAGCATGAAAGAGCATATTAAAAAACTAAGAGCTCCACTGTACCTTTTAAAAGCACTGGCCTGGATGGGGGCTGGTGCCGACCTGGTCTGCACTACCTTAGGAGCAAGCACATCCATTACTATACCCCTTCAGGGGCTGCAGCAAGTATTCTCTTCTGTGGCTAGCCAGTGGTGCTGCAGATTTTCAGAGATGTTAGTAGCTAGCTCTGCCCATCCCTTGTACTAACATGAACATAAAACACTAAACTATGCCCAGATCCTGTAGAGGGATGGGCATGATTCACTGCACCATCCCCTGCCCTTTCCTTACACTGTGTCCAAGGGTCTGGCTACAACTTGCTTCTCACGTCATTATGATCTGAGCTCCTATATTAAGTCTCCAAAAGGCATTTCCAGATGAGAGTCAGAGTTCTAAGTTTCCTCTAGCAGGAAGGGAAAAAGGAGTGGAGTGGTAAGCTGAATACTCCTTTATTAAGTGAAGTGGACTGTGCCTCTTACCACTGAACAGTAACTAAATGACCTGTATCAATTTCTGAATTAGTACAGGTGGCCGGGAAATAGAAGGCAAATCCAAGATTGTGGAATGTCACTGTATGCCAGGGTTCACTGGAAAACAGAAAAGAGGCTACACTGTTTCCAACTAGAAGACTTACTGGAGGGTAGTGCTAAGGACTACAAGAAAGATTATTTCTCAAAGGCGAGTCAGATTCTCGGCCATGACGCAATCCGAGGTGCCTGGTCAACTGATGAAGAGAATACTTCACACTCTCTCTCATACCTACTTGAAAAAGCAGTAAGTCTTTATAAACAACACAGACTCTAACAAGGCCTTAAGAAAATAAGAATGGCCATATGGGGTCAGACCAAAGGTCCATCTAGCCCCAGTATCCTATCTTCCGACAGTGGCCAATGCCAGGTGCCACAGAGAGAATCAACAGAACAGATGATCATCAAGTGATCCAGGCCCTGTCACCCATTCCCACCTTCTGGCAAGCAGAGGCTAGGGACAGCATCCCTGCCTTCATGGATCAAACCCTGAAGGGCAATGAAATTTAAGAATACACGCCAATCTGTGGGCAACAGGGAAGGGAGTTCTCTCAGACTTCAGGTTTCCCCTAATCTACTGTCCCAAATTTTTAGAACACTACAGAATACTCTAAAACCAAATTTTAGACATGGCTCTGACCAAACCCTGACAGGCCTGAACCCTGGGCTCGGACATCTCTTTCAAAAGAGCCCAAAGGCATTGGTTAAAGATACACTGCCATCATGCAGCTGCTGATCACTAGCAGCAGATGGGATTGCTGTACTTAAAAGTTTACAACACAGAATATGGACCCCAATCTGACAAGTCTCACAAAAGGCTGTAGAGAGAGGATGAACTAAATTTCTAGAACAAACTACAGAACTATCCAAAGGTAATAATGGGGGACTTTAACCATGCAGACACCTGTTGGAAAAGTAACGCAGCAGAACATAAAATGCCAAATAAATTTTTGGAATATACTGGAGACAACTTCTTGTTTCACAAGATGAAGTAATCAACCAGGGGGACAGTCCTTTAGAATTGATTCAGATTAACAAGAAGGAATTAGTTACAAATCTGAAGTTGGAAGGTGATTTGGGAAAAAGTGACCATGAAATGATGATTTCATGATTCTAAGGAAAGGAAGGAGTGGCAGCAGCAGAATAAGGACAATGGATTTAAAAAAAGCAGACTAAATTTCAGAGAACTAGTAGGTTAGGTCCAACAGGAAAACAATCTAAGGGGGAAAAAATGTTCAGGAGAGCTGGTGGTTTCTCAGAGACAATATCAGAAGCACAACAGCAAACTATCCTGATGTGAAGAAAAGATAAGAATAGTAAGAAGCCAATACTGCTCC